TCTGTTTACACGTGTGTTATGGATTTTGGGAAATGTTAGTATGTTGAAAGACACAAATGTTTTAAGATTCTGTAGAATCATTATTTGTTTGGGGTTGAAAGAGTGGGAGAGGTTCTTATCTTGTGCTGTACATGCCATTTAAGGCAGCCAGGAGAGAGAGGAGGAAATGGGACTTAACATGCGTGGAGTGTCTATTCCACTCAGAAGCCAGACACTGTATCCCCATTTTCTCATTTAATCCTCACAATTCCCTGAGAGGTCGCTATTATTATGCCCTATTTTATATATTTTTTTAAAAAACCGGAAGATCAGAGAGGTTAATACATACATCAAGGTGCACAGAGCTCGTAATACAAAAGCACCAATTCCAACCTACCCCTTTTAATGCACAACTGTGGTGTGTCCATGTCTCTTACATCTTTTCCCAAATTGTGTCATCATTTCTAAGCGAAACCTCCTAAAATAAGTCCATAAAGTCAGCCTTTGCTGCCAAAATGCTTGGCAGTGCCTTAGTCTTTTATTTTTTCCCATTCTTGGTAGAAATCAGAGTTCTCTTTTTCCCCGAATGGAAGCCCCAAGATGGCTTATGCTTGCATGCCTTGGGCCCATTTGATTTCTAGCTGAAACACTGGCTTTTCTTCCGGGCCTGACCCATCATCAGCCTCTCACAGGAGAGGACCCACCCCGTCTCAGAGGCACAGTGGGGCGTGTTTGAATCGACATAAGTGCGCCTGGCGTTGTGCGCCTGTCAGACATGGTGGCCTCCCTGATTTAGCGGAAGGGGAGAGCCCAAGTCCTCCCCTCCTCAGCCTCACCAGCGGGGGATTTGTTGAAATGAAAGCGGGTCCCAAACCGAACTCTGCCACACACCAGTCTTAGGTGGAACGCTCAAAAGCAGCCATAAAACCCGTTCCCACGAGCCGGGGGCAGTCCCAGCTCCCTAGAACTTGCTGGAGAGATTTCCTCAGGGACGGAGCTCTGCAGGAGGGTCAGCTCTGGGGGACCCAGGGGCCTCCTCAGCGTGCCGCACATGTTCTATTTTTTGGATCCAGGTGATGATTGTAGGAGTATTTATGAGTGTATACTTCTGTATGTGCGTTTCAGACGTGGGCACTTTAGTGTATCTAACGTACACCTCAGTAAAAAATAAGGTGGAAATAAATTATTGTCCTTATATTATTCACATGGTGTGAGCAGAGAAACTATTATGTATTATTCAAACCCCCCAAGAACCCCTTGAATGAGAGGTTTTCCATGGCAGGGTCTCGGGGTGGGGTAAAAGCACCCAGGGGTCTTTCATATGCACCCAGCTCATCAGTTTCTACACCTTGGCATGAGCCGGGCCCCTGGCCCCATATCCCTCTTAAGGAATTTATCTTCGCCATTTTCCTAGGTCAGCACAGTGAGGCCCACTAGTTGGAGTAGAAGACACCCCTCCATGGAGGCCTTCTGTCTTGGGACTTTGCCGAGGGCTTCTCTCTGGTGACACCAGCCCAGCCCTGTGGAGTCCCCCGGAGTGGATGCAGTAGCTGCCTCCATCCAAGTGACCTCCTTGGCATCTGGGGTGCCTCAGTCTTGGGCTGCTTGCTGCCTTCATCCTTTTAAAGTACAGTCATCACCGCTTAATGACGGGGATATGTTTTGGGAAATGCCTTGTTAGGCAGTGTCATTGGTGTTGGAACATCATGGAGGGCACTTACACAGACCTGGAAGGCACAGCCTACTGCACACCCAGGCTATTGTGCGGCTTATTGCCCCCAGGCTGCACAACTGTACAGCATGTTACTGTACTGGGTACGGTAGGCAGCTGTAACACAATAGTATTTGTGTATCTAAACATAGAAAAAAAATACAATAAAAATAAGATATTATAACCTTATGGGGCCAACATCATATGCACTCTGTCATTGACCCAAATGCCATTAATGGTGCATGACTATATATTCTTTTCTTGGAATTTGACTTCTTTTGCCCTTTAAGCTGTCCTTGGTAATTTTAACTAAATTTCTGAAGAAGCTAGGCAGGAAGATTCTATGGGTTGAAATAAATATATTTCCCTGGGCAATATTCCCAGACTCTGCCCTGGGGCTGGGCATAGGAGGGGCTTTGGATCACCCACCTTTATTTCCCATCAAGGGGAAATGAGGCAGGGGTACGGGCTGCCACAGGGTAGTGCTGGCCGAGGTCTTAACCCCAAGTGCAAACTTGAGTAAGCATCAGATTTGGCCTTACTAACAAGGCTGTTGCCTCCGAAGTGAAACTCGGCAGGGTGAAGCTGTGAGGATGGCCTTCATATCAGTTGCCTCTAGGACAGGGTTATGGTGCTTCTGATTTGGCACAGTTTTAGAATTCTCGTGACTCTCATTTTATTGCCTAAGTTTCTCTCCCTTCTTCATATTTCACATACACATCTCTCATCCCAGACTCTTGTTTGTCAGAACATCGGCCTTAAAAAAAAAAACACAAAACACCAGACACAACAAAAAGAAAACCTTGCATACACAAACAGAAATCCTTTGCTGGTATTCCCAATGCACTGTGGAACCACTTGTCACAGCAGCGGCTGCCCCCCACTCCCCATCATTTGGGCCTCCCATCAGGTTGTTTTTCTTTTTTTCTTCCCTTTCTTTAACAGCAACAGCCAACACTGTTGGAAAACAAACTATTAATAAATCTTTACAGCTCTCTTGGCAGTTTTTAGCTGGATTGCATTTGCTTTTAACTTCAGGTACACTTAGTCATGTCCCCGTAAGTAGAGCTAACTTTATGAAGAGTAAGGTGGAGGTTTGCTTTTAGTCTGATTTATTGTTGGCAATACAAAATGAATAAAGAGATTTGGGGGGTTATCTGGGAGTAACATGGGAATTGAGCTCTGTGGCTCTTGGTCCCTTAATTTCATTTTCTGAGATTGCGATATTCTTGTTCATTGTTTTGATTTTAGTTTATGGCTTTAACATACTCATTTTTAAAGAACTGAGTGTTAGTGAAGGCATAGGAGATTTGAGTATTTAATAATTAACCAAAGGTTTGATATCTTATCTAACTAGCTGGCTCCTGGACAATTATGTAACACTCTTCTTTTTAAAATTAGACTGTGTGAACATTAAGAACCAAATGGATTGGATGTGATTTTTATTTATATGTTGTTAACATGCTGTGGAATGCTGTAAAATTGACTTGAACTTAGCGTGCTAAAGTCCTGGCCTTCTGAAACCCAAACTAAACACGTTAGTTACCATTAACCCAGGCCCACGTTTCTCCTCTGTGAAAACTAGGAAGCCCATCATCAGGACAAGACCCCCGAAGAGCAGCAGGGATGGCAGGTGGCTGCCCAGCTGACTGCTTGTAGGGGGTGTCCCTGCTTCTGCCCTGGTCGATCCCCTCCCCCACCATCCTGGAGATTGGAGTGTGCTGCAGAAAGGAACAGGGCCTTCCCTCTTCAAGGCTGTCTTGATATTCTCCCTTCTGATTCTTAAGGTTGTAGAAATGGGGCAATAGCTGTTATCACCAGACCTGGCCACTAGGGGCGTGCTAATTCCCAGTGCTGTGATTAAAGGGCTGGCAAATAACCCTGATTCAGCCTCTTACCAGCTGTGTGACTGGGCAAGTTCCCTGACTTCTCAGAGGCTCAGTTTTCTTCTCCATAAAATAGAGATACTAATCGGAGGCTGATAAAATGAGACAATGCTTGTGGGAATTCTTAATATAGTACTTGGAAGTAAGTAGTATGTACTCAATAAATCATAATTTTAATTATTAATATGCTAATTAGATGATATGGAAAAGCCTGCTTCCTCCTCTCATGGTTTTTTTTTGTCACATCATGTTACAGGTTTTTGGAAGATGTTTCCAGAAACCTTTGGGAGAAAAATATTCTCTACCCTACTCCCCAAAAAACAGAAAGGGATTTTTAAAAAAATTATAATAAAATACACATAACATAAAATTCACCTTTTTAACCATTTTCAAGTGTGCAATTCAGTGACATTTAGTACACACACAATGTTATGCAAACATCACTATCTAATTCCAGAACATTTTCATCACCTCAAAAAGAAACGTTGCAGTCCCTACCTCCACCCCCAGCAACCACTAGTTATTGGCCTTCTGCCAACCCTGGATTTTTCATATAGAAACATATAATATGTTTCTATAAACATATAATATGTTTCTATATGTTCTGTATGAACATATGTTTCTATATGAACATATGAACATATAATATGTTTCGAAACATATAATATGTGGTCTTTTGTGCCTGGGTTCTTTCACTTAGCAGGATGTTTTCAAGGTTCATTCACGTTGTAGCATTTATCAGTACTTCATTCCTTTTAATATGTGAATAACATTCCATTACATGGATACAGCAGATCTAGTTTATCCATTCATCAGTTGATAGACATCTGGGTTGTTTCCAACGTTGGCTATTGTGACTAACACTGCTGTGAATATTGGTCTACAAGTTTTTGTTTGAACACCTGTTATCAATTCTTTTGGCTCTATACCTAGGAGTGAAATTGATGGGTCCTATGGTAGTTGCATGTCTAGTTTTTTCAGAAATTGCCAAACTGTTTCTACCATGGCAGCATTATTTTACATTCCTACCAGCAATGTCTGAGGGCTCCAACTTCTTTCTCCACACCCTTTCCAACACAAGCTCTTTTCCTTTTAAAATTATTATTATCGTTATCATAGTAGATATGAAGTGGGATCTTATTGTGGTTTGGGATTTTTTATAGTGCTGATTTTGTATGTGTCTGGACTCAAATTTCCATATGAATGCTCTTAAGCCTGTGATATTGCAAAGTTACATGAAAAACCACCTGTACAAAATTTCCAATAAGGGAAAGGTGTAAAGTGTCTTTTCCTTCTTAGCCTCTGCTAAGCGTCATAGCTCATAGTTTAAGCCACTTGCAGACAATCCATAGTTAATTAGAGATGATGTCTGATGCCTCCGACCTTCTCTCTTAATTCCTCTTTTTTTTGTTTTTTTGTTTTAGGGATTTCCTCTGGGTCACCCAAGATGCTTTTTAAACATACTAGATAAGAGCTGAGCTACCTGCCCGCGTGGGACTTCCGTACTCTGGGCTCCACTGTCTTCTGATGGCATTTTGACCACATCGAGGCCAAGTGACTAGCTGTTCATGATGAGTGATGAGAAGAACCTTGGCGTGTCCCAAAAATTGGTCTCACCTTCAAGGAGCACAAGTAGCTGCTCCTCGAAGCAGGGAAGTCGGCAGGTAAAGTTTAACTCACACGCATTTTAAGATGCAAATTTAAATCACATTTACTTGGGAAATCCTACGTCTCAGTTTAAGAGCATTTGCTTTCAGTCATATGTATCTTAATTATATGAGGAGAGTAAATTCTAGATCATTTCAGTTATGCAGCTTGAGTGCCTACCAGGTGGGAAGAACTGCATTTGGCTCTTTGTATTATTTTATTTAATCTTTGCAACTGCTCTCCAGCGTAGGTATTAATATCTCCATTTTCTCCATGAGGAAGCTGACTCAGACAGACCAGGTCACTTGCCCAAGGGCACACAGCTAGTAAGTAAGAGAGCAAAAAAATCAAAGATCAGTCTGTTTGGTTTCAGAGCCACCTTTTCCATTATACCCTGCTAACCAAACCAAACCAAAACAAAAAAACCTCCCAAACAATTGCTTTTCCAGTAATTTAATATGATATCCACCCCTACTTCCTTCCCTTCACCAACCCTTTTATGACAGCTTGTACCCACAGACTACCCTGTTAGTAACTTTGTTTCTTTTTTTTTTTTTTTTTGAGACAGAGTCTCGCTTTGTTGCCTAGGCTAGAGTGAGTGCCATGGCGTCAGCCTAGCTCACAGCAACCTCAATCTCCTGGCTCAAGCAATCCTTCTGCCTCAGCCTCCCAAGTAGCTGGGACTACAGGCATGCGCCACCATGCCGGCTAATTTTATATATATATATAATATTAGTTGGCCAATTAATTTCTTTCTATTTATAGTAGAGACGGGTCTCGCTCTTGCTCAGGCTGGTTTCGAACTCCTGACCTTGAGCAATTCGCCCGCTCGCCTCCCAGAGAGCTAGGATTACAGGCGTGAGCCACCACGCCCGGCTCCTATTTTTAATTTTAATTTTTTTTTTTTGAGACAGAGTCTCATTATGTTGCCCAAGTTAGAGTGCCATGGCGTCAGCCTGGCTCACAGCAACCTCAAACTCCTGGGCTCAAGCCTCACGAGTATCTGGGACTACAGGCATGTGCCACCATGCCCAGCTAATTTTTTATATATATTTTTAGTTATCCAGCTAATTTCTTTCTATTTTTTTAGAAGAGATGGGGTCTCTCTCTTGCTCAGGCTGGTCTCAAACTCCTGAGTCACACGAGCCAGTCACCTCGGCCCTCCAGTGTGCTAGGATTACAGACGTGAGCCACCATGCCCGGCCATGATAGTAACTTCCAATATTACCTACTTTATTTCTCTAATGGTTAAGGGAACCTAATCAACAGAAAAGTGGTCAAAAGAATTAAGTAGGAGGAGGAAAGAAGTGACACAAAGGACTTAAAAATGAACTCCTAAGCAACCGTCAGTTACTTATATGTTGTTTCTTGGTTTCCTTTCTAATAAATCTCCGTTGGAAGAATTTACTGGCTTTAGATCGATGGCAGTAAATGCATATGCATCTTTATAATTCTTCCCCCTTCAGTTAGAGAGAGAGTGGGCTGTCAAAAAGCTGAATTTACAACCGAAGTGGTCATGGAGCCATTTCAGGACCTGCTGGCTCTGTTGGCATTCCCCGATGAGGAGTGCTGGCCCGGGAATCCACCCAGAGTTCCTTGGTTCCAGATTTGGAAGCAACACTTAAGCAACCTCCCACCTCAGGCACGTCCACACATTTATGACACATCATCACGGGGTCTCTCCATTTGAAAGTTGCCTGGGATGGGGAGCTTGCATGCTAGGCAAATTAGATTTTGCCACAGGCCTGGCATTAGGGAAGCCCTCCAAGATCTCCCTGGAGGGGTTAAGAAGAATTTTGTGAGCACTGCCATCACTTCCTTCTGTGATTTAAAAAAAAAAAAAAAAAAGGTGACTCATGACTCCCTGGAGTTCCATTTTCAGGAGGGTACCTATGCTTTTCCTCTTTTCCTTGGAGGTAGTTTTCTTCCTAAACCAAAATTCTAGTTGCGATTAGAGCAGAATGTGCGATGTTCCCCACCCACACCGTCCCCTTTTGCACCTGTAGCATCTATTGCTATTCGATGGAGGGAGAGAACATGACTCACTTAAGTATAATAGAACATGATGATGACACCATAGGAATTGGAGTATTTCAGTGAAATTCTCAGGTGAAATACTGCAGGAACTTTTTCAGATGTGTTATTTGAAATTGATCAGGTTTTCACAAAGCTTTTTTTGAGGTTGCATCCTACAGGGTAAGAGGAACGTGCTTGATGCTTCAACTTTTTTCTGACCTGGAATGCTTGATCAGTCATCAAATGGTCATCTTTTATATTTAAGATCGCCCACTTTAATACATATATAGTGTTTCTTTATAAATGTAAACACTTATTAATAGTCCCTCTTTGGAGAATTGAATAAGTTTATTGCAGCATTAGCCTGAAATGAGTTGTAAAGCCCATGTTTAATTTTTAAGGACCATTTTCTTAGGCCATCTGCTTTCCCATCCTTCTGTTCAAAAAGGTGTTCTCTCCCAGGGTAGGCTTAGCATGTCCATCCATGTAGTCCACCTTAGCAGCTCATGTCCATTCGCCTTTGCAAACAGGCCCAAGATTGTGTTTCAGTCATTAAAGGTGCTGCACAGGTACAGGAGCCTTGGAAGCTGTCATGTCCCAGATCTGGTGGTCTCTCGGTTGCTAAATATAGAGATGACACTGTGTTTCCAGTCACATCACTGGAAAGTACAAGTTAAACACTTAAAACCCCAAGATTTATATAGTAAGAAATTTAATTTGAGGAATACTAAACTGTAACTGAAGATAATCTGTGCAAATACCTACTTGTTTCCAAAACTCCACTTTAAAATCATTTTCAAGTGGCTCTGTTCTTTTCCTTTCATCTGGAGGGGGTACATCTGATGTTGACTTTATTGGCCTTCTTTCTTAGTGCTAGCTTTTCTCATGTGCTTTGGAATCATGGCTTAGAACCTCACCTTGAGTTTGTTTCCCACATGCTCTTTCTCTGCACTCTCTGCACTCACCCTGACCCATGTAGGGGTTTGCTGTTGCCTGCTTCCTACCTCCGAGAAGCCAGAGCCAAGTCTTCTATTTGCAGGTAGGGGCTTCTGTTCCATGATGTCGGAATATCCAAATCCCACCACCAGCCCAGCAGGCAGCACGGCCCAGCTCCTGGCTGTGAGGCTGTGTCTGCTTCCTCTCTTCCTTCCTGGGCAAGTAGATTTTTCAAGCCCCCTTTCATTGTGGGGTGGAAGCTTCCCCCTCTACATTCTCTGATTTCCAACAGTGAGCCTGGCTCAGGTCCTAGCCTTTTTCCTGGGGACATTTTTAGCCCCATGAGATCACAGAAATAGACTAATGGACACCTCTGTCTATGGTATACTTTACACTTCTATTTGGTTTCTGATCCATGGAGATTTTTAATCTTTTTTCCCCTGCCATATTCCTTTTCCCCCCAGCTTTATTGAGGTGTGAATGACAAATAAATATTGTATATATTCATGGTATACAACATGATATGTACACATTGTGAAATGATGACCACAATCAAGTTAATTAGCATATCTATCACCTCACGTAGTTATCTTTGTGTGTGTGTGTGGTAAGAACATTTAGCATCTACTGTTGTGGCAAATTTCAAGTATACAATACAGTATTGTTAACTATAGTCACCATGCTGTGCATCAGATCTCCAGTACTAATTGGTGCTGAGTAACTGAAAGTTTGTACCCTTTAGACTAACATCTTCCATTCCCCCCCCCCTCCACCTCACCCCCCTCATAACCACCATTCTACTCTCTGCTTCTATGAGTTTGGCTTTTTTAGATTCCACGTATAAGTAAGATCATTCGATATTTGTCTTTCTGTGTCCGGCTTATTTCACTTAGCATAATGCCCTCCAGGGCCATCTACATTGTTGCAAACGACAGGTCTTTCTTTTTTAAGACTGAATAACATTCCATGGTGTATGTATACATACACATACACACACCACATTTTCTTTGGAGATATTTAATCTTGTTTTTTATCACACAGGCACAAAAGAGCCCTACATGTTTATACTTTTGTATTTTTTTGCAGTGTTTGGAGTAGGGGTGGTGATAGGGAAGGGGCATTCAATGCATACACTTAAAACGCCATCTTGGCTGCAAAGACTTGGTCTTCTTAAGTCATTTTCACTTACATTTTCACCCAGTGCCTCCAGGTGACATTGAGAGTCTCTGTACTCCAGCCCCACTGGATTACTTTCAGTTCCTGGAACTGAATTTGCCCTTGTCCTTCTTTCTTGAACTGAACTTGGATTTGAACTTAGCATTCCTGTCCCAGACCTACCCATGTGAAATCTCAAGGAACTATGGGTTTGTGTGTAGATACTCCCCTATCTATGTATCTATGCTAAAAGAACTTGCTTCTTTGAAGGAGAAAATGATTGAGATCTGGGTGTTAATTATGGTCTCTGTTGTCACTTTTATATCTGACCTAAGACAAAGTGTACAACTTAGGGCCGTGAGAACCCTAGGAGAAGGGTTCTGTCATATTTTAATTTAAATACTGGAGCTTTTGAGATTTTAAAAACAGCGTGCTGTACTTTGCCCGTATAGAAACAACCTGAAAATAAAATTTTATCAAGATAGTTTTAGGAGAAAGATATACATAGTAATTAGAACTTGAACTCTCCAATCTTGGTTCCACCCATTAATTGGTTTTGTGACCTTAAACTCTCTCAACCTTGGTTTTTTCATAATAAAATTAGAATAATAATAGTTCTTTTCTTATAGGATTGTTGTAAGGATTAAAAGTAAAACACTTAATCCAGGGTCAGACTAATGGTAGGTGCTGAGTAAATATAAACATTCATTTTTATTTTATTTATTTATTTTTATTTATTGAGGCAGAGTCTCATTCTATTGCCCTGGATAGAGTGCCATGGTGTCAGCCTCGCTCATAACAACCTCATACTCCTGGGTTCAAGTGATCCTCCTGCCTCAGGCTCCTGAGTAGCTGGGACTGCAGGTGTGTGTCACCATGCCCGGCTATTTTTTTTTATTTTTGGTAGAGA